AGACATAGCGCCGCTCACTAGCCTGGCTAGGATCGGGAGGGCTTGAACCCTCGCTAGCAATTTCTTTTTGCCAGTACAGTATAGCTCTGAAGGTTGGGTACCTTTTTCTACTTGTACTATATCGAGGAGTCACAAGTACGACCTTGTATATACTACTCAGATGTTGGTTACCTATCATTTTAGCTAAGCCGTACAAGCCATTTTAGCAACAACTAAAACAAACAACATACCCACCCTCCCTGTCAACAAAGGCTGTGACATCTACCCACCATGAAGCAATGACAAACATTTTGGCCAAAGAACAGCCACCACCACCGCCACCACCGCAACAACAACACACACACCTTTGCCAGGATAGGCTGAAATCCAAGCCCACCCTAGAACATACTTCTCCGAAGAGCACCCAGCACAAACACAGTTAAGGTCGCCTCGACGGCCAAGGAGAGGTCATCATGGAAGTTCTGTAGGTCGTGTACAAGCGCAGGCCACAAAGAGGTCCGACGTAGAGGTGCTGCAGCGCTCCTCCGGACCTTGGGTATGCACGGCAAACAAAACTGGAGCAGCAGTCTGTACAAAGGAGCGCCCTCAACAGGGTAAGAATTTTATGCCACGGGATCGTAGCAAAGGTCAATGAGCTCACCCCGCGAAACATGCTCACCAACCTAGAAAAGCTTCTGCTTAGTCGCGTGAGACGAGGCATCGTCATAAGGAAGGAGGTAGCTCACACGATTCTCTCCCCAGCAGAGAGGCAGTGATGGGGAGTGATAGAATTTACCATTGACCGCGTTGTAACTCTTAAAAACAATACTGAGTTAGAATGCAAAAACAAACCACCAGAGATAGAATGTATGCATTGAACAGATTGGACCCCCCCAAAAAATGCTTTAGAAAGCAGGCGTGTGACATAGAAACGAACAGATAGAATGCGCACCACTGCCATGGACTCAGCAATTTTCATATTAGACATTGATTAAAAAGATGGTGACAGCTGGACAACAGCGATTTGCAACCTTGGCAGCGTGGCAGCCTCAGGCTCAACACACACACACATTATTTGGCTCCGCTCAGACTCCAATAGTTTCTGACAGGATGTCTCAAAAGCAACCAGGACGTTGGCTTTTATCTACTAGATGTACATACTATAACAGTATCCACTCCCAGGTTAGAATGCCCATTTGGAACTTTGGCATGATTTCAACATGACTCCCTGTGTGAATGCACAGCTTCATTTTCGCTTTGTCGCATGATCGACATGGTCACACTGGTTTTCTATGTTTCGTGGCCCAATGAGGCACAAGAGTTTCTTTGAGTGAGAAAAGGTATGTTCGCCGGCGGTCGCCGTGTTTTCATTGGAACAGCGTGATAGCGTGATTCCAACATTGGTCACGCGGAGCTGTTTCGGTACGATCCTTGGATGAAAGGTTCACGGTCATGGCAACCACGTCGGCCACCACCCCTCCTTTGGTTGAAGAAGATGAGCAAGGAGATCCGGCGAGCGATGCTCGAGGGAGTGATCTCCAAGCATGGATGATGCAGGTTGGGATTCGACGGAATGGGACCTGTGGAGTGCGGGGGCGGCTGATCCTTGGACTGACCATCAGGTGCGGAATTTCAACGTCGCGGACATCGAGCGCGTGACTGCCATGAACAACGGCAAGTCTGCGGCGGACTGAGTGGCCCGACGCCGCTTGGCCTCGCGACTCCAAGCCCTCAGAGAAGTTGGTGGTTCCAGAATTTGATGGTGAGGGAACCTCGGGCCAGGACTTGGGCAAGTCCGCACGTGCGTGCGCCGTGTTCAGGTTTGGCTGAGGTGCACCAAGATGAGGCCAGAACACCTGAGCACTGGCCTTGTACCAGGCCTTGACTGGGAAAGCTTGGGTCTATGCGGAGGAGCTCGACTTGGACATCCTCGCCACAGACCAAGGAGTGAGCCACTTCTTGGAATGGGTTCAGACTCGCTGCAATGGTGGAAAGCAACAAGATCGCAAATGCCGCCGGAAGCCTGCCCTTTGCGTGAACGATTGCGCTGGCCGTGAGATTCCTTTCGATTGCCCACAGCGGCGTGTTGGAGAAGTCGGATTCCCAACGAGCGTGGCGTACGTGAGCGATCATGGTGATCATGGGGAATGGTGCTACAAACCTTTGTTTTTTCCAAAGAAACTTCAACCGGAAGCATTTCATTTGTTGGCTGCCCCCGAAGCTCTCAGCGGAAATGGTGCTGGTGGCAATCAGTGAAACACAACAGGGATTTCAGGGGCGAGACGGCCGATCAAGTTCATTCGCGTGCATGTTGTCCCCCGCGCCACTCTTTTCAATCCCGAGCTTGGGAACACCATGCGCAAGTCATTGAAGCAGTCGTTGTTAGGTCAGTTGAGCGGGAAGTGCATCACAGAGTTTGTTCCATGTTTAGCCAAGGGCGTGATCGCGCACTTATTGGTGCCAATTCTCGAACTGTGGAGGCTGAGGAATCGAGAAAAGAAGCTGCTGGACTTTTAGTCGCCGAGTGTTTGAACTACAACATCGCCGAGAATCCTCAGGGGTCACTGCTTTGCTCCAGTATTCGACAGCTTGCTACGCCGACCTGGATATGTGTCGCTTTCAATTAAAGAGCGACGTTGACGGACGGCCTTTGAGAAAAGCCACCTCTTTGCTGACCAACAACCTGACATTTGCCCAGGCCATGTCCCAGAAGTGTGAGCGCATGCATGAAGAACATCGACCGTTACAAGGCAGACTGTACGACTGCCTTTGCCAACGCAGTCTTCCAGTCCTACGACAAGGCGAAGAAGGCTGGCCAGCAGCTCTCCCTGAACTTCCCCGCACAGCGTGGAGAATGAGAAGGAAGAGGAAGGGGCAGATCTCGGAGCCTCTGGCATCTCGTTCAAAGGCAAGGTGAAGCCCATGATTGGAGCCACTCTTCGGCGGGCGCGTCAAAACCTGGGGCACCCCCCTAACCGGGAATTCGCCCGACATCTTCGACTGGGAGGTCCTTCTGAGGGAATGATCCGCGCCGCTGAACAGATGCAGTGCAAGACTTGCACTGCATTGGACTTCAAGTCCGGACCTCCAGTTGCAGGTGTGCCAAGCCCAGAGGAAGCAAAGAGCGCCGCGAAGGGATCCCATTTCGGAGGGCGATGTGATCGTGCTCGGCTACCGATGTGGCTGGGGGCAACGTGGATGTGGGAGATGAAGAACCTGAAGACAGAGCTTGGTACGGGGAGCGTTCTTTGGCATCGCAACTTGGCTCGTTGGTGGTGGTGGCTGATCGTTCGTGCCTTGAGAACAACGCTTCAGCGTAATCGATTGGAGGAGTGGGTCATCTCACCGAGTGTGCTGATCCACGCTTGCCGGTGAGACGATGGCGTGTGCGGAGAGCATTGAGAATGCGATCTACTTCCGTGCCCTACTGTTGACCATGATGACGGAGGGAGCGCCTCTATCGAGAAGGCTGGGGCGGTCATCCCGCTGCATTTGGTGATGGACTGCAGAAGTCTCTATGACCATATACACCGAGAAGGAGTTCCGCGGGCCCCAAGCGAGAAACGCTTGGCGATCGACTTGGCAGGAGCGCGGAGGGCTTTGACGGGGGAGGCCAACGCCAGTCGAAGGCCAGCCGTCCCAAGTGCCACCGGTTCTGCGCGGAGGGCTGATCTGATAGCGCAGATGGCGATGAGTGGTAGCTGCGTGGAGCTGAACTTCGAAACTGTGGCTGCAACAGGTCTGGGTGCTGGTAGCCAAGAAGAACAATCCGGGCTTTGCTCTTGCGGCTTCCATCGGGAGGTGTACTGCGCTTAGCCATTTGACAACCCAGAGTCTCTTCATTGGTGCAATGTCTGCGCAGTAAGGCGTGAGACTTGAGAGGAGGTGTGCGAGGAGGGTGAACAGTTCAGCCAGGGGGACACATCAGGGCGGGCAAACTTGGAGGTTATAGTTCCCATTTGCGTGATGGCAGTCCTCTTGGGGGCAGTGTGGGATTGTGTGATGATTGACGCACATCAAACAGAATTGGACAAGGAGGTAGCCATCAGTGTAAGTGTCAAGCAGTACCCTATATCAATTTCATTCGAAAAGCAATTGTTCATGGCCTCTTCCACAACGAAGCTGCGAATACTTCTGAATGTGTATTCTCTTTTGGTTTCTATTTTTGAATGCCGGCAAGTCGAGTAATTTAGTAGATTTTTCTAGTTTCGGTGACTTAGAGTACAACGCGATGAGGAATCAAGTCCGGCGCCGCCAGAGCCCACCCGGAACAGTTCCGGATGGGCGCTCCTCCGTGAGATTTGCTTCCAAACTTTGCTGAATGGTTCCGCCTTCCAGGCCATCCCTATATAGGTTGCCACCTACATCTCTGTCTGGTCAGTACATGATCAGAGGCACCTCCTCTCAAGCAGAGAAGCTCTTTGTGCCCTGGTCGGTTTGGTTGAGTGGCGCGCGGCTGTTGGATAACAAGCGTTCGCTGGGGCCCGTTGGCTTCAACTGAAGCCATATGGGCGGTTGATGATGACCTGATGTTCGCAGCCCAGCAGTATAGAGTTATGGCCAATCCATGAAAGAGACATGCCACGGCAGCGTGCCAGCCGATGGCTCCGAAGCCCTGGAGGGGTTGTAACCTGTGACGCGGGCCACCGTGGCGGCGCCACACTAGCCAAAGCACTTTGAAGAAGAATGTTCTCAACCCTCGAGCGGGAAATGGAATCAATATCCAGCTGCTAGCTGAACACATGCGACCACGCAGTGAAAACCTAAGCCATCCTGCGCATGTCCCACAATCTTTGTGCCACAGGGGAACAACTAGTCGCAACTTGGAAACGTACTTTCGAACTTTGCGTTGACCATATTTGTCAGTTGCAGTATCTTCCCAAGAGAAAACCTCTGTTGGACTGTGCTGCGTTTTTACAAAGCACTGAACATTGCATGTTCTAGCCTGCTGACTCTCAACATTTCACAGTTTTGCAACTTGTATTCTTTGAGTCTTTTCGTCAATATCTTGCTTCTCGCAGGCGTGCAATGCACGGATTTGTGGCAGCTACCATTTGGCTGGTCTCAGAGAAGGGCGCCCGTTATATTTACTTCCTGGCAAAAAAGCAGTGATTCGCTACGCCTCGGAAACCGACAGGCGACGTACTTGCTCAACTGAACAGCTGTGTGGTTCGATGAATGTGAATTATGCGCGTTTCGGTGTTTTTATTTGACGTTTGCAGGTGGCTTATTGACTTTGAGGCTTTAGCCGAGCCGGGGATTTTAGGACGTATTCTTCAATGGGCTTTGAAAATGGAGACAGGAGATGCTTTTAGTGCTTTTGCCGATGCACGTGGAACCTTCCACCCTGGGCATGTATTTTTGGAATGGCATGTTTGGGAGACAGCACAAAGCCGAGCTGTTTTGGATCCGTGCGTCCGCGCAACTTCAGCTCCACAGAAGCTTCAAGTCAGTGGGCGTGGTCATGGGCAAGAGAATGGGGACATTTCAGGAGATTATTTCTTAGTTGGATTGCACAAGGGTTGGCCAGCTTATCAGCAAAGAGGCACTAGTATGGCAATCCGCAGGGAGAAGAAACGTTGGGTCATTGACCGTGAAGGCCTGCGTGATTCTTTGACGTGTGTAGCATTTGCACAAGCAACCCCAGGTTTTCAACATGCAGGTGATGGTGGAAGCCAGAAATGGCATGTCTACGATAGCCGCGCAGCATGTCATGCTTTGGACGTGGCAATCCAAGTTCGAGCTGATGGACCTGAAGAGTCATCTACAAAGAGACAGCGCATTGAGTGCGTTTCGACAAGCGCTCATTTGGGTGCCTAATTCCGATACTTAATTCAGTTGGCCGTTGAGTCTCTCAGAGGTTCTCCCTCTGGAGCACATGTGTATAGATGTGACACCAATTGATGCAATCCAGGGGACAGGTGAGCGGTGTGGAAAAGCAATTATCACACGTATACCGACATAGAAGGTCCACAAACAAGACAACGGTCTAAAGTCTAAAGGAAGACACAGACAGAAAGAAAGAAAACACAGTCCAAAGATTATAACACGGTCTAAAAAAATCAGTTTAACGAGAAAGCAAGGTTAGAAGAAAAAGGAACATACAAGTGAACGGGGAAAAATGGTTTCAATGAAGGACACAAAAAAACTCTCGTCTAAAAGGAACGTGTAAAGCTAGGTCTAAAGAGAAAAAATACCTAAAGAAGACGCAGTCCAAAGAAGAGGTTTAAAGAACCAAGGTCTGAAGAAACGATTGTCTAAAAGGTGTAAAACAGAAGAATAAGATGTCTAAAGAACAACAAGTGTTTAGAGAAAAGAAATGCTGCAACACATATCTAAAAAACAGTTCAAAACAAATCAGGTCCAGAGAAAAGCAGAAACGCAAAGTCTGAAGAACAAAGAAGAGCAAAGGGCTAGAGGGAAACAAGGTTGAAATGAAGCAGGACAACATTGTGCACAGGAACAAATATCAAAGAGATATAAAAAAGACCTTAACGGTCCAAACGCCAAGAAACCTAAATTTAATGAAGAACAACGTGAGCGGTGTGGAAAAGCGATGATCAACAGATTTAAGCATTTGAGGCTGATGTGTCTTTCCGACAAAAGTCACTGCAATTCTTTTGGGCAGTTGGTTCAATATGCTCCGAAAGCAAAGAGTTCAGCTTCCTATCTTTGTCAGCCATGGCAAGAGATGGTTTAGCACTATTGGCCCTGGCTATGGACTCCGCAGAATGCTGGCCACAGAGAGACTTCAGGACCAGAGGTGATGATTGAGACGAATAGCCGAGTGAACAAGAAGCGTGAACCTTTTTCCAGTGTTAACCGTGCTAACTGTGCTAACTCTGCACTATCCTATTTGTCCATCCAGGAGAGGAGCTTCCTGCCAGGGAGGGTGCATGACGTGGTGAATCCCAGGTGCAAGTTTGATAAAGACTTGTGCCATGTAAAGAGAAGTGTTCATTTGCTTAGCTTGCAGTGAAAGGAACCATTTCCTGAAGCTGGGGTCTTTCAAGCTTCTGTTTTGAGGGCTGTACAAGCTTTCCTGAAGAGCTTGGGCTTTCCTTGCCTCCTTTCGAAGTGCTTGCAAGATAGGGCTCTCTTGCCATCTTCCCCAAGAGTGCCCGAGAAAAAAGTCAACAAAGACAACTTTCATGACTTAGTTCTCTCTGAAAGAGCTTCCCTAATAGTCTAGGAACCAAATGACTAGAAGCGTGAGCTATCCTAGTAGCTTAAGTAAGGTACTAGCTACCTCTGACTTACTAAGTTTCTCTAAAAATCTAGGAACCAAATCATTAGTGCGAGCTCTCCTGCGTCCATGCTAGTAGTAGCTTCCTTGTAACTACTAGCGATTGCTACCTCAATAGCTACGGCCTACCCCCCTTAAAGAAGGTATATATATATATACACGCTCTTTTCCTTGAAATGCAAAAGGGCTGCACACAAGTAACATGTACACAATGTACACATAGAATGTTCTTTCGATGCTAGTGATGTTCTAATTCTGTACGGTTCCTATGGAAAATGGTTCGCACTCCTTCTTGGCGATGTGAGACCAAACTGCATCTTTGGGCTCACTTTGCCACCGCCCTAGGAACAAGAAGCTACTAGGGGCTCCTGGCCTTACTACTAGGAACAAGAAGGTACTAGGGCTCATTCACTTCTTGTTTCTCTTTCCAGGCTTTGCTCATTTCTCTCAGGAACTGCGTCCCTGGAGTTTCTTGGTGTTTCTGTTTGTGGTCTATCTGGATAATCTATCTGGATAATCTGCACATTCCAACAATTCTTGATACTTCTCCATTTCTTTCTCAGCTATATCTGCTGCCTCTTGCAATCCTCTTCCCATGGGGTTGTAGTATCTCTCATAGAGTTGTGCAATCTTTGCTTGAAGTCGACCACACATTTGATGTGCCTGTGCTGAAATGTATTGTTGCCTGGTTGATATTTCTCTGTTGCTCATTCTAAATCTTTTGTTCAATATTCCTTCTGATGATATTGCTCCATCTGTAGCTGCCTGCAACATCACTTTGTGTTCCCAATATTCTCCATCTGTTGCTTGCATATCCTCCATGCTCCTTCTGGCTAAGAAGTTTCCTGCGTTCTACTCTCCTAGCATAGCACATCATATTGGATGGTATGAAGATCTGATACTTCATGTTCAACAAAGCCTCCTTTTAGAATCAATCCACAATGAATTCTCCTGGCGTAGTTATGTAGAGTATTGATTCTCTGCTCATCACTCTCCATTCGACTGACATCTCTTTCCATATTCCTGATGTCAGTTTCAAGTTCTGTGAACCTGAACTCTAGGTTGTCTGCTTTCCAATTAATGTAAACCCAAATGTCATAGTAACGTCTTTCTGTATGACCCCATAGCATATCACTGTCCTTTTGGAATTTCCTTTCAAGACATCTGACAATTTTCTGGACCACAAAGATTACTGCCGCAAAGAAAATGATGTTGATTGCAAACATCACCATGATCCAACATTTTCAGTTGTAATCGGACTCCTTCTTTGAAGAATGGTTCTGTAACTATTGGCTGCAAGCCCTCCAATGCCACCATTCTCACAAGCATCTTTGCAACCTTGTTGACCTTTCCTGCAAAACTCTTCTTTTCTTCAAATTCCCTTCTCTCATATTCTCCTACCCTCACTTGGTCTTCATTTTGCCAATAACCAATGAGGTTCATCAAGCATTTGATTCTTTGTCCTCCAAGTGGTTTTCTGTTGAGGTTTGCTATGTTGCCATCTGTTTGCACTTGAACCGTCTTGAAGTCTTTTCTGTTTAGAATCTATAGCAACTTTCCATCTAAGTGTTTTCCTTTTCCAACTCCTCTCTTGTCACAAGTTGGCGCGCGCTCGATGAATCTGTGAAGACTTAATGGTCCACCTTTGTCCTAGTAGATTCCTTTGCTAGTAATTACAATTCTAATTAAATTCTTTTTGTTACTACTAGTAAGGCACCTGTTACTAGAAGCGATGCACTTGTTACTAGTAGCTTCCTACCCCCCCCCCATATATAGATTCCATTTGATGCTAAGGAAACTATTGCATATAGGTCTGCTTCGCATGAAGATAGACTGACAATCTTCTGTGTTCTGCTGCTATTGAACAATGGACAACTATTCAACGCATGGAATCCTCCTGATGTTGACTTTCTGTGGCTTTTGTTTCCACTCCAGTCTGAGTCTGAGAATGTCTCCAAGCACCAATAGCTTTCTCCTTTCTTGATATACTTTCTCCTGCTTGTGGAAATTCAAGTACTAGACAATAGTCCATAGTCTTCTTCAAGTATCCCAAGAATTTCTCCAAGTGATGAACTGCCATAGCTGTAGGATTTGACATTCTTGAAGCCAATTCCTTCGCTATGAATGCTACATCACATCTCTCCTGACATAGGTATATACATGATCCAACAATGCTTCTGAAAAGGGGTAATCTTTTCTGGCTCATGCAGGACTTGTGACTTGTCTTCCATTTGTCTGCTGGTAGTTGTTGGAGTTTGATAGGTCCAATCTGCTCTTCATAGGCTTTCAACATCTGCTGGATGTAATTGCCTGGTTGGATCCATAGTCCATCAACTTCTAATTTGTACTTTCTCCTCAGAAAATTGAACTCATCTCCAATCCTCTCAATCTTGCTCACACTGGTGTCAAATTTGCATTGGATCTGTGGAAGAAAGATTTCATTGATGTACTTCGAGTTTCCTGTGAAAATCAAGTGATCCGAATGGATCAAATGATACTCGTCTCATTTCTTCCTAGACATGGACACTCAGCACTGAACTTGTAGCTGAGTTCCTGCGTGAAGTACTCTGTGAAGAAGTCAAACCATGCTTTTGCTCAAACTCTTTGTCCAGGCAGGTTCCCCTTCACTAGGAACTCTTATCCTCTCAAGATTACCTTCAATCGCTTCTCTTGTGGAACTTGTAGAAATGCACCTTTCACATCAAGACATCCTAGAACCTGTGAGAATCTCCTTCTCCCTCTCTTGCCTCATCTTCTTCACTGATCTTTTGCAAGAATATTGTGGGTAGAAGCTTCAGTACATGTTCTGAAGTCGCTGGTGAGAAAAATATAATTTCTCTTTCCTTCACCCAAAGCAAATTCTCTTGCAACTAGTCTTGATCTTCTCGTCCACCTTTTGTGACTGAAATACCATCTCCAAGTTGATATGGTTTCTTCCTCCAGCCATACACATAGCGTGTTGTAAGGTAACTGACTCCTTTTGTGCTTCCTTCTGGTTTCTCTAGCGCTTGCATCTCGTGGAGTCTCTTTTCCTCCACTTCATCAGCTACTCTGTCAATCCATTCTTCTGGACCTTCATTTGGTTCATGTTCTCCATCACGCCACAAGCATTCAGGTCCATTGATTTCTTCCAAGTCTGAAGCATCATCTTCCTCATCATCCCGCTCTTCTTCACCAACTTCCTCTGCAACTGGGGATACTCTTCGTCTACATGGTAAAGATCATCTCCTCAAACTTTCACCATGTTGATCTTGGCCTTCTTGCTTGAATCATCTGATGGCCCGAGTTTCTTCATTGGGCTTTCCTTTTGAAGCAATTCAAATGCTTCTCTTGGTCTGGATGGCGCTGATGATGATCTCAATGAAGATAGTAGTATAGGAGTAATTTGATTTGGCTGCCCTGCTGGCAATGATGTAGAGGGAAATGCCATCACTTCCTCAAGTGTTTTCTCATCTTAGGTGTTTCTCTTCCACTAGGCTTTCTCTCACTTCCATCTCTCTTATTGCTTCAGCAGGAATCTCAAGCGGGGCTGGAATCTCCTTTGGTTCTGGAAATAGTTGTTATTCTTTTTCTG